AACTGTCTGAAAAAAAGACAGTTTTTAGAGAAGAAAAAAAATCTTTCGAAGCTGCTAACGACTTTCTACTTTGAGGATCTTGATAGAAATGTAGTGGAGCGAAAAGTACAATATTTGTCTTTCAAATGTAGTGAAGTTAAAGTCATAAGTTTCCAGAAAAAATAATACTCAAGTAAAGTACCGATACTCAAAAAGTGTACTTAAGTACAATACTCAAGTAAATGTACTTAGTTACTGTCCACCTCTGCCTTTTGCTGCAATATCTCGTTGTTTAAGCGATGTGTCTTGAACAACACATAAAAGCTTACTGAAAACCTTTGGCCTAGTAAATTTTATAGTAAGAAGAATGCAATTATTAATTGAGCAAATATTTGAAATATCTGAATGTAACTTTTTTTAAGTTATGAAGACTGTCACTGTCCAAAGAGATCCAATTGATTGTAATATTTCTTTGCTGTGCAAAGAAATCAAGTAGCAAAATTCTAACAGTCAGTAAAGCAAAGTTTATAAGTATACAAAAATTAACGAGTAAATGGTACCCTAACATTTGCTAAAATGGTACAGTAGTTCTCAGAGAAAGACAACATTATAGGCCTACAGCAAAGCAAGAAAAGTGGGAAAAGAAACACTGCATGTGAGGAAGCTCCGCCCTCCTACAAACGTGACTATACAATATTCAAGAAACAAGTTTTTGCACAGCATAGTTGGTTTTGATCCAGGCTTCTGTCGATACCAGTGGAGACTGTAAGCTGATCCATCATATGAACAGGACAGAGTGGTGCTGCTTCCTTCAGTTAAAACTACAGATGGCTGGTTTGGTCTGATAACATTCCCATTAGATTCACCTGCAAAGACATTAAAGGGTTAGTTCACCCAAAAATGAAAATTAGCCCATGTTTTACTCACCCTCAAAGCATCCTACACTGTAAAAAAAAAATGTGTTGTTTCAACTTAAAAAAGTAAGTGTTCGTGCTGTCTTAAAATGTTAAGTTTAGCTACCTTGAAATGTTAAGTTCTATGAAGTGACAACTATTATTTGAGTTGCCTAAGATACCGAACGATATGAAACATATATCGTTGATATATTTTTTAGCTATAACGCCCAGCCCTAGTATGTGAATACATTTTAGCTTACTCTCTAATTAAAATGAAGATTAAAAAAAAAGAATGGCTGCTGTTTAATCATATATAATGATTTCACAAAAAAATAAAATGTTTCTTTTGGACAATAAGCTATGTGGAAAATATACAGTGTTAAAGTACTATAACCACAAGTTTCGAAGATCTTTACACTGATTGATGTGCAGTTATTAGCTCTCTTAATTATCCTTTCTTTCATTTTTCCTTATTGTACACATTGGTACATGTTAGTAATGTTTGGTAATTACAGTGTGTGTCCTGATTGTCTGTTTTTGTACAGTGCAGTTGTGTTTCCTGTCACTGTGGGCTGCAGAGCACAGTAGTACAGAGCAGAATCATCCATTTGTGTAGAAGATATGCTCAGATTCATAAGTTTGATTTCTTTATCGGCCACAGCGTACAGACGAAGCTTGGGCTCTGACTGACTGCTGCTCTCAGTGTAATAAATTATATTTTCAGGTTTGGATCCGGGATGCTGACGGTACCACTGCAGACTGCGAACATTACCACTGTAGTTGCAGGAAAGTGTAACATCTCTTCCTGCCAAAACATGCTGCTTTGTGAAGAATGATGTTATCAATTCAGCATCAACATTATCTGTTTAAAAAATATCAATCAATCAATTAAAAAACATTAAAATTCATGGACTAATTAAGAGCATATATAAATAGTTGGTTTATTAACACAATCAAAATCAATCAGTAATCTGGAAATTATTCTTATGCATTACTCACCCTTACAAAGGGAAAATATCATGAGGACAAGGAGCAACATTATCAATGAGACAAAAAGTTCTGTAGAGTCAAGACTTACAGTTTCCTCCTAACTGACTCAGTTTGCATGTGCTCTGTTTTGAAATCACTTGAATGTGAGCTCCACCTTCTGGTAAAAGCCATGCTTAACTGTAATACTCTCTGATCTGATTTAATAATAATTAAAAAAATGTGTGGTAACCACTGGTTAAGTATAATGTCATTCTTTTTTGGATGTAACTGAAACAACCAAAAGTTATTGTACAGCAACATATCAGCTATCAACTGTACTTTAGTGACTTTCAAAGGAATACAATACTCTATGTGTGGTCTTAACTGTGAATCTAAAATAATTCTGTGGGTAATAAAGGCCCTGGAAATCTCTTGTATATAAAAACCCAATAACCTTTCTGTGGCAAGATAAAATATTTTAAATACATCTATACTGTAGTTATTTATTTGAACATTCTAGTAATTTATCAGCGAGAAATGTGTCAAGCTTTATTTCAAGGAACAGACTGAAATTCTTTTATCTTGAGTGGTGATTGTTTGTCTTGGTATTTTGTAGTCCATTTTTGTATTGATTATGATTATAGTCCTAAATTATGTTTTTTTTCTCTTTGAGGGACGTCCTTGCTAAATAGAGCAAAATGAATTACAATTTGATAATGTACATTTAAATGCCATATAGATCATCAGCAAAATGGAATATCACAGAGATCATGGTAGAGAAATATGACTGTTCATCAGGCAGATAACAATAAGGTTTTTGTACAGTGTAGTTTGTTTTCCTGTCACTGTGGGCTCCAGAGCACAGTAATACACTGCAGAGTCTGATACAGCAGCAGAGGAGATCTCCAGATCCACAGGTTTATCATTACAGAGTCTGATGGACATATGTGGATGAGGTTGGTCAGCTTTGTTGACATATTTAGTGGACTCAACAATCAGCAGCAGAAACTCTGGTTTTGATCCAGGCTTCTGTCGATACCAGTGGAGACTGTAAGCTGATCCATCATATGAACAGGACAGAGTGGTGCTGCTTCCTTCAGTTAAAACTACAGATGGCTGGTTTGGTCTGATAACATTCCCATTAGATTCACCTGCAAAGACATTAAAGGGTTAGTTCACCCAAAAATGAAAATTAGCCCATGTTTTACTCACCCTCAAAGCATCCTACACTGTAAAAAAAAAATGTGTTGTTTCAACTTAAAAAAGTAAGTGTTCGTGCTGTCTTAAAATGTTAAGTTTTGTGAACCTAAATTGTGAAGTTGTCTTAACTGAAGATAAAGTTGACAGGACTTTATAAATCAAGTGCAATAAACATAATTTACGTTTTGTGAACTTAAATTGTGAAGTTGTCTTAACCGAGGATAAAGTTGACAGGACTTTATAAATCAAGTGCAATAAACAATTTAAGTTTAATCATTTTAATTGTAGTAAAAGTGTCTAAAATCAAACAAGATATTTTACAATGTTACATACATTGGTACGGCATAAAGTACCATGTCAAGAAAAAATGTATTAAACATTCATTGTTTTTAAAAAACCAATAACCAGAAATTCACAAGACAAATCATGAACAACAAAAAGGTGCACACCATGCACCTGCACAGAACCACTGATCACCTCCAAGGTAAATGAAAATCTTGAATGACCTCAAATGTGTAACAAATACTCTAGTTCAGTCAACTTACAAACTAGTTGAGACAGTGAAAACTTAAAATGTTAAGTTGAATGAACAAATTCAGAAGTTGCAAGTTGTGTCAACTTAAAAAAAATAATCGAAACAACTAAAATGCGAGATCATTTTTTACAGTGTAGGGGCCCTATTTTAATGATCTAAGCACATGGTCTAAAGTGCACAGCGCAGGTGCACTCAGGGTGTGTCCGAATCCACTTTTGCTAGTTTAATGACGGGAAAACGATCGGTGCGCCCGGGCGCATGGTCTAAACGGGTTGTCCCTATTCTCTTAATGAGTAATGGGTGTTTTTTGGGCGTAACGTGCAATAAACCAATCAGAGTCTCATCTCCCATCAACTTTAAAAGCCAGTTGCATTCGGAATGGGCGCACAAATGGGCGTAAATGCATTTGCTATTTAAACAACGCGCCGCAGGATGGGAAAATGAGGACTGCGTCGGACTAAAACTAGCAAAAACACTTGCGCCGCATTGTGCCGGGTGTATGATAGGGCCCTAGGTGTATATGACTTTCTTCTTTCAGATGAATCCAATCGGAGTTATATTAAAAATTATCCTGGCTTTTCTAAGCGTTAGAATGGGAGTAGGTGGGTGTTTTTGTTCAACAGTCCAAAAGACATCAAATAAAGCGCGCACATCCATAATAAAACGTGCCTCACAGGGCTCCGGGGGGTGAATAAATGCGTCCTACGTCATCCGCCCAGAACGGCGTGCTGGTATGACAGTCAGCGGAAGTGAGAAAAATGTTTATAACATTTTAAATATGGATATTTTTATCTTACAAAAATGCATCGATTTGCTACAGGAGGCCTTTATTCACCCCTCGGAGCCGTGTGAGGCAGGTTTTATTTGATGTCTTTTGGACTGTTGAACAAAAACACCCACCTACTCCCAACTGAGGATAAAAATGAAAATGGATGAGATGAGTAACATGTTTCTATTTCTTTTGAGTTCAGACTTCTATCAGGATCTGTATGAAGGAAAGTCAGTGATGTCTTTTTGATTTCTTCCACTGAAGTTGACAAAATCTTAAGCTCCTCCCACACATACCTACATGCTTATTTTACCCTACAAGTACAGACAGTATATAAATAAGCTGATATTATACAAACATTGCAGTGGCACTGTACAGATATTAAATGTTTCAAACATTATTTTGCTATTCATATCTTTTTTAAGAAGTAGTCTGATATTAATGGTGAGGACACTACCAATTGTACTGTACATGTGTTTGAAAACTATTCCGAAAAGTAGAAATTGATTGTCCACTTTATAAAGAGTGTAGTTTTAAAATCTGCATTATGCATCATCATCTTCTGTCTTAAATATCCTTTCTCACTCTGTTTTTGTACAGTGTAGTTGTGTTTCCTGTCACTGTGGGCACCAGGGCACAGTAGTACACGGCAGAGTCTTTCACTTCTGTAGAAGAGATCGTCAGATTCATACTTTTGGCTGCTTTATCAGCTGCAGCGGTCAGACGGAGAGCGGGCTCTGATTTGGGGATGGTCTCAAAGAACATGATGATGTGCTCCGGCATGAATCCGGGATACTGACGATACCACTGTAAATAGTTGACAGTGCCAGTGTAGTTGCAGATCAGTGTAACATCTTTTCCTTCCAAAACCTGCTTCTCTGTGAAGACTGGTTTTATGACATCTTCACCAGCATTCTCTGTTTAAAACAAACTATGTTTTAAGTAATCATTTTCATTTCTAATGGACTATTTCAGATAGTCAACAGAATAAAATGGAGAAAAAAAGTATTTCCTCAATAACTGTTATGAAACACTCACCTTTTAGAAGAGAAAATATAATAAATACCAGTAGCAACATCTGCACTAATGAGAGACAATGACTTTGAGGTTCCAGACTTACAGTTCTCTCCTAGAGTATAAATGACTGAATGTATGTCAGCTCTGTTAATAAACAACTGAACTGAGACTGAACTAGAATGGTTCCTGGAGCTCCACCTTCTGGCAGAATGCATGTAAGATCACTTTTGCTACAATATCTTAGCATTTTTTATGGGATGTACAGTATTTCAAACAAAAAATAAGAGCTTACCAAATAATTTTTGGCCTAGTAAATTATACAGTAAGTTATACAATAGGAGTGAAGTGATTAATTAAAGAAGTATGTAATAAGGTACAGTAATAAAGATTGTCACTGTCCAGCAGGTCCGTGCACAGACATTTTGAGGGGCAGTGGCCCAAACCAAAAAAAGGGGCACACTAAGGGGGTGGGTGCTTGTTAAAGGGGTCATAGGATGCTTATTTTCCACAAGTTGATATGATTCTTTAGGGTCTTAATGAAAAGTCTGTAACATAGTTTGGTTAAAATTTCTCAATGGTAGTGTAAAAAACAGCTTTTTTTACCCTGTCAAAAACAGCTCTTTTCAGAGCATGCAGATTTGTAGCATTTTCCGTTAAATGTTAATGAGCTCTGCTGACCACGCCCCTCTCTTCCGAGCCGCTCTTTGAGGGACTGTTTACTTTAGCCGCATTCATCGTGAAACTTGCTAATTAGCACATTATTAGGAAAGGCATTTCTCAATGGTAGTGTAAAAACAGCTTTTTTTACCCTGTCAAGAACAGCTCTTTTCAGAGCATGCAGATTTGTAGCATTTTCCGTTAAATGTTAATGAGCTCTGCTGACCCCGCCCCACTCTTCCGAGCCGCTCTCAGAGACTGTTTACTTTAGCTGCATTCATCGTGAAACTTGCTAATTAGCACATTATTAGGAAAGACGATTTGCAAAGATTCGTTAAAAAAACCTTACACTCACTTCTTCTGTAGGTGAAGCTGGATCACGAATGATTCGCGCGAACATAGACGCATTTATGTAGATCGGGGGCGCATTCCCTTCAGAAACAAACATAATCCACTGCGTCTTCAGCGGCTCAGATGTCGGGAGTAAACGACGACTGCTATGTTCATTATTACATCCAACAACAGAAGACCTCAATCGCTTAGGAGTCATTCTTGTCTACAACTGCTCCAGCGGTGAAACAATGGAGGACAGATGACAGCTCACTCAGGGCGGGTCTAAGGTAAGACGCCAGTCTTATGTGATGTCACACAGACAGGCATCTGAGATCGGCTCGATTTGAGAAAGGGGAAAACATTTAACCAGATAAAAAAAAA